TACAAGAGTGAACTAGAACAACAGCTTCAAGCAGAAATGTGTCAAAAGGTAAGCTATATCTCTTGTTGATGTTTACAAGAGTGATGCTTTTGCTTCTCTTCTAATACAGTGTCTTGATCTTAGGTTTATGGGAAAACATGTGAGACCTTTCTTAAAGAATGAGATACTGTACTGTTACATGTTATTTTAATTTCCAGTTGATGTCATTTATTCTTGCCTTTTGGCTGAATCCTAGAGGTACAGTGAATGGAATAAAACTAAAGATGAATTAAACTAAATATGATATATTTAGACAGACCATTCACATTAAACCTAACCATGAAGAGAGAATTTGTTCCTGTTTCTTTACTATAGTAACCATACTTTCAATTTTCAGTTGAAGTATTTTAAAGAAACTGAAATAGCAAAAATTAAAATGGAAGAGAAAAGAAAGTATGAGAAGGAATTAGCAGAGTTCCGGCACGAGTTTGAGAGAACTTACAAAGCAAAAACTGAAGCCCTCATTTCTCAAGAAAAGAATACCCTTGAAAGAATTCAAAAGCATTGGGAGGTAATATTTGCAAAGAATTTAATGGGTGTCTCATTCCTGTAGCTGTTGGTATAGGCCCGGGATTTATCTCAGTGGTTCTGGCACCTGCCTCGTAAGCGCAAGGTCCCGAGTTCGATCCCTGGTACCAAAAGAAATATATATATATACGTATATATATATCAAATGTAGCTGTTGGTAGATTGGTGCAGGATCCAGGCAAAGGGAGGGACACTTGATGAAACAGGGCCCTGGAGGAGCAGTCTGGGTGGGGCCTGGATGTAGGTAGAAGGATGGGCCTGGATAAGGCTATGAGACCTCCTCTGAGATGGCGGGATGGAGAGAACGTGGGGTGAACGTCCACAGTGAGATTAGAGACACACACTGAATGAACACCATCTTCTCCGGTACTTGGTGGGCTCAGTGGAGGTATGGGGAGAGCCTCAGAGTGTAGAGCTGTTGCTGTGGGCAAGGGGCGAACAGTTCATTCCTGTAGAGAGGACTGGTTGGCAGAGACCACCAGCTGAGCCTGGAGGCTGGAAGTGAGAGATCGAACCACATGCTTGGAGGCAAGTTATCTCAGCTCATAGTAGTCTATGAGCCCTGTATCTTTCTGTCCTTTCAGCAAGGTGGAAAGGTAGAGGTGTTTGGGGAGCAGAACTTTGCAGAGCTTGATATCCTTGACTGAAGAAAGGCAGCTATTGAATTGAAGACCTTGGTGCTCTGCTAGGTGGTGAAGGGAGGGCTGGAAGCAGAGGAGAAGGTGGGCTCCTGACCTGAGAGGAAAGGGTTAAGGGATGGCCATGGGGTCTTGAAGTGATCAAGGAGTAGTCCCAGAGAGACTAGCAGTTGGAAGAGTAAGGATAGGCCAAGCGTTCAGAGTCTCGGGGTGAGGCTTCAGGTACAGAATGGAAACAGTGCAGGAGCAGTCACTGGGGGAAGCTGCAGAAAGGAGCAAAGGTGAGGGTCCCTGGAGTAGTGGAGTCCAGGGCCAGGAGGGTAGTCCACACAGCCTTTCGGTCTCATCACCGGGGAGTGACTGCACAGGCAGTGGAGAGGCTGAGAAGTGGCAGGAAGCCTGTGTCTGGCTCTGCAGCACTGTTTCCTCTGTGTGCCCAGAGCTGCTGTTGTCGGGGGATGTGAAAGTCGGAGACCTCCCCTAGTATCCATTCGTGCCTAAGGCTTCTCAAGACCTCCGTATTTCACGGCAAATGGATCCCCTCTATAGTTCAGCTCTAGAAGTAAAAGTTGGATGCACAGATCTTTGAGATAACTGGATTGTGTATAGACCAGCAACTTCATTTCTGCGATGGGTGACTGACTAAATCCCCATTTACTTAACATTTTCTGAAGGCATTGAAGAGGATTGGCATCCTCATCAGAAGCAACATGCCTCTGTTCCTTCACCTGGAATGCCCATCTACTCCTCTTTCCCCCTGAAAACACCATACTGGCCTTCAGGGATTCAGCTTGCATGTCACCTCAGGAGTGTGTTCCCTGACTCCCACTGAGTGATTCACTCTTGTTCCTGTGAGCAGTCTTTATGTACTTGCTTATGAAATCCTTATATCTTAGTGCACTTATTTGTTTTTCTCTTCCTGACCAAATGGTGAGCCTGAAAAGTGGGAATTATATCTGGGTACCTTTTTATATCCAGCTCCCAGAATGTTGCATGACATGTGATAAGTAGCTAATAATTCCTTGCTCAGTAAACTCCTAAGTAGCAGGATGGCCTCTTCATTCAGGGGTTCATATGAGCTTGCTCGTGCTGAACCAGAATGACCTATGAACTGAAACATCCATCTACTACCATCACCATGAAATCATCATGGAGATTCTGTTCTTTTGGAGTTTAATTGCTGAATACACATTTTAATTTTTTTCTTGCTGATGAACTTATCGAAATTTTAAGTAAGACAGAGATGTTGAAGAACTAAATAGATGGGATGTTAGGATTGTAAGGTAATACAGTTAATAGACATTGGGGGAATAATTTTTCTTGCAAGTAAGTAAATTTTTATGCAACTAAAACAGACCAAAAGCATGTCTCGAATTGAAATCTCTTGAAGATGAAAGTGTTACCCTAAATGTCTGTACTTTCATTGTTTTTTGAAATTTAGGGCCGGGGATTTAGCTCAGTGGTTTCGCCGTCTGCTGTGCAAGCGCAAGGACCAGAGTTCGATCCCTGGTACCAAAAAAAAAAAAAGAATGTCACACATTTCAAAAGCACGTCCTCACAACATGTTATTTATAAGGGTTATGTTATAGTCACAATATTTGTATAAAGAAAATCTTTTGGGCCAGGGATTTAGCTCAGTGGTTTTGCCGCGTATTGTGCAATCGCAAGGACCTGAGTTCGATCCCCGGTACCAAAAAAAAGAAAGAGAATGAACACAGTTTGGGGCTAGGGATTTATCTCAGTGGTGCCACTGCCTGTCTCACAAGAGCAAGGTCCCGAGTTCGATCCCCAGTACCAAAAAAAAATTAATGTGAAATTTAGGAAGCAACGAATGAGTTCCAATCTGTTTTATTTTCTTTTGCTTGCTAAAAGTCAATGCTCTCCTATACAGACTGAAACAAACGAAATCTATACTCAAAGGCAGCTTCTACTAAAAGATATAGATTTGCTAAGAGGCAGAGAAGCAGACCTGAAGCAAAGAGTTGAAGCTTTTGAACTGTAAGTAATGCATGTTTGTTTTGAATACTCAGAATGAGGTGAAAAAGATTTGCTAAATATATGTCTAAATATCCTAATGTCAGTTGCCAAATAAAATTCTTGGTTGTAAAGCTGATATCACTTAGCTTTAGAAAGGTACAAGTGAAGAGAAACAAAGACTAGGATTTTGCTTGTGAAATATTAGAAATTAAGATGAAAACCAAAATGAAACATCATCATTAGGCATAGTAAGACCAGACAAATAATTGAGAGAAGCTTGAACAAATCATCTATTTTGCAGTTACCCTCAGTCATTCAGATCCAATAGTTTCACGTACACAACTGAATTCCACATACTCAGGCTTGCCCCATTTACACCTGCTGTATGCTCTAAGAATGAAGTGTGGTGCTCTGACTTATCTTGTGATGAGTGAAAGTATTTCTCGTAGTGTGTACCGCTCACTTTTTCTAAGTGTTCACAGTATTTCATCCTTCAAATCTTAGCTGGGATTGATAGCAAGCTAACCCATCTATAGTTTGTGTGATAAGCCTTCTTTCCCATTTGAAATCTGCTATTAACACTCATAGATACTCTAGGAACCTTAGTACGTTAAAGAAATGCTCTGTCTTCATTGTTTTCTCACTTCTGTAGGTTCAATTCATTTGATTTTTCCCTGTGTCTGCCTTACTGTCTTTTTGACAGTACGAAGAAGCAAATTGATCAAGAGAGAGGAGTAAACTTTGGGCAGAGAGAATTCATAGCTATATAGTCACTTCTTTACTTCCACTTCCTCCGCCGCTCTTGCCTCCTGAGCCTAAGTGAAATAAATGTGCCTTTCCAGATTAGCCAGTAGAGGGAGCTTTGACTCTCTTTCGGGACTGCAGAGTTCCGTAGTTCATCTCAGGATGGGTTCATCTAAGCAGCACCTGTGAATCCACCCTCTGCTTGAGAATTGGCTTTACTGTTGATCTGATAGGAATAGATAGATCTTTTGCAAATGGGAAGGGGACCAAGAGATGGAGGGAAGGGGAGGGGGAAAGGCAATAAAAGAATTAAGATATGTTGGTTCAAGGACCAACTTCCCATGGTGAGTGTAATTATGTACTGCAAACATGGACTGATAAAAATGTAAACAATTTTCCAAACCTACGAAGACATGTTGAGTACCTATATAGGAAGGAGATGACTCTGGCATCTGAAAGCCCTGATCAGTCTTCTAACTTTTGCTCTCTCTTTTGATACTTTTATATCTATATTCAATCAATAGATCATTAAATAATAAAAACAAACCTTCCACCCTTATTATCAATGTACTGATGGCTTAGATCCGCCAGTTAGAATCATTACTATAGAGGAGACAAGCACATAAGGACCCTAACTTTTGTGACTTTGTAACTAATAATACCATTTTTGCACCCTTAAATTGATTAAAGTGAGAAATCACTTTGGTCTTAAGTCTTTCCTGCTACTGTCCAGCTCCCTCCGTTATGTTAGATACACTGTAACTAGGTCGGTTTGTAAAATAGAGGGAAGACTTCTGGCTCTTTCTTTTTACTTTCCAGTAGGTGATGGTCACAAAACGGTATTAGTCTGTTGAACCATGAAAATGTCTTATTTTTTTTCCCTTCAGTTCCTTACCTCAGATAGTATAGTTTATTTGCTTTGTATATTTTTGTTAATTTCAGGTCCCAAAAGCTCCAAGAAGAAAAAAATAAAAGTGTGGAAGAGGCACTTAGGAGAAGGGAGCAGAATATAAAGAGTATTGAGGAAACCTACGACCAAAAGCTCAAGAATGAACTTCTAATGTAATTGTTTGACTTTTTAAAAAAATGTTTTTGTATGTGATTGCAATAAATGACAGTTGCATTCATTGTGGGAAGTTGGTACATGTACATATCTTAATTCTTTTTACGTCCCCTTGCCCTCCCTCCCCTCCATCTCTTGATCCGCTAAGGAAGTAATATGTTTGAGTTAAGTTGGTGGAAATCTGACAAAAACTAATGGAGTAGATAACACTGACACTTTTTTTTTTTACTTTTATTTCCATTTATTTTATGCCTAATTTATTCCCATGCCATAAGTTTTTGTTTCTTCAGTTTCTTCTGGGATATCTGTTTCTTCTGTGCAACTTCCTCCTCTGGTTTAGGAACAATTTGTTCCTTTTTAGTAAGGATCATCTCAGTGTGGCAGGGGGAGCTCATGTATAGGTTAATCCGGCCATGAGCTCTGTAAGTACGGCAGCGCATCTTGGGTGCTTTGTTCACCTGGATATGTTCAATGACCAGAGAATCAACATCTAAACCCTTAAGCTCAGCATTACTTTCTGCATTTTTAAGCATGTGCAGCAAAAACTCAGCACTCTTTTTAGGCCACCAGCCCTGTGTCCAGCCCCACTGTTTTTCCTGGGCACACCTACCAACTCCACCAACTCCACCATTGTAACGCCTGAATGGCACACATTGTTTCTTTTTTTTTGGTACCTGGGATTGAATTTAGGTCCTTGTGCTTGCGCAGCAGGCGGCAAAACCACTGAGCTAAATCCCCAGCCCACACACTGTTTCTTTAATGTGACATCCTTCAGATACTTGGTGGCCTTTTGGATATGCATACCCTTGATGGCCTGGGCAGTTTCACGGGTGTTCTTAAAGTGAACACGAAGATTTGAGCCTCTTGATTTACATGATTTTGTGGGGTTTTCTGGGTCAAGAGAGCATAGAACCATTTTCACAGGTCACCTCTGGCCGCTTATAGGAAGAGCGATAACACTGACACTTTATGGCAAAATTTAGTGTTTGAAAAAAATGCCTATTTGATAGTCCTTTCCCATGAGTATTTTGGGTTAGGATAGTTGTAAAACATATGGTGTGGAGAATTGCATCTTTCACTCTTTCTCATAGCATCCCCACAGTTACTGAGAGCCTGTGATTTGCTTTACTTTTGAGGACACCTTATGACTCGCTCAGCTTGGATACCTCATGAGCGGTAGAATTGGAATTATAGTCATTTCTAGGTATCTTTTCCTCTGCTCCACTCAGACTGCCACTAAGATGGTGATGTCTTAACAATTTATAAATTATTCTTTCTTAGAGGTTATAGTATTTGTCCATGAACGTGTGCTTTCTATTCAGGATTCAGCAAAGCCAAAATCAGAAGAAATAAACTAAAATTAACTATATGAAGCAAAAGTGATATAATGGAAAGGAAAATATGGACAGCTATAGTTACTTTGGCTTTTTGATAGTCTGAGTTTTGTGTACCAGGGGAATAGTATCTCACTGCAAGGACATTACACCCATATGGTAGCTTTTCTTGGTGGCAGTGTTGCTTATAGCAGTAAATAATTGCCCAGTTAATATTGGTTAAACAAATGTGTAATGAAGAGATGGCTCAACTCAGCTGCCCCAGGCATTTCATTGCCATTGGTCTTTCTACTCCCTTGCCTATAACTTGTCATTGATTATCCATTCTGTAGTACTTCAGAAGACTTCTTGAGATTATTCCTTAAGTGAATTGTATTAAAAAAGAAAACAGCTTTCTATCAGTTTTGAAATGATACATTTTCTCCACATATTTTATGTCCACTCTTTTACTAAGGTAGTAAACACCAAAGTACCTGTAGATGCTAAATCTTTAGGAATGAATGAGTAAAAGTGTGTATGTTTGTTTTATGTAGTCCTGAAGTCAGTGAGTTGTTTGATATCATTTTGACCTTCCATGGCCTGGGAGACCTTTTATGACTTGGCAAGCGTGAGAACTTGGACAGTACTCACCGCCCAAGAGCTTGTCTTTCCTTTCTCCCATCCCCATCCCAGGAGAGAGACTAGTCATAACTAGTGAAGATAAGTAAAACTCCATGAAAATATGCCTTTTGGTGTGACTGAGCAGGACAGAATGCTGTTAGTGGCTGGCAGTCAACACCGTGCTTAGGCTCTAAGGGCAAAAGTTGTTCTGGCTGGGGGTGGGGTGGTGGGGCCAGTGGATGGAAAGCGACTGCCTTGTTTGTCTTGGGGATTTACGGTCTGTTGTGTACTGTGTTAAGGTTAACCTAGTTTCTGTGTTTGCTCTCTGTGCCAGCTGAGGCCAGCTGAAATGGAATTGCTTTTAGTAACCTCAAGGTAACGCCCTTCATTTTGTGCATTTGACTTCTGGGTCCCAATTTACAAGATCAAGGCAGGCAGAGAGTTTTCTCAGACATTTTATGTTGAGAATTCAGGTCCCTGGCCTTAGTACTGAGAAACTGAAGTTCACATTGTCATGTTCTGGCCTTCTGTTCTGTGTGCCATAGATAAACTTCTGCAGTGATAACAGTCCTTCCAGCAAGCTGACAAGGAACTCATTTTTAGTCATTTTGATTCTCAGGTATCAACTTGAACTGAAGGACGACTACATCGCTAGAACTAATAGCCTGATTGAAGATGAAAGGAAGAATAAAGGTGATCGAGGCTGGGGAGCCATATTTTTCAGTTCTGAAGTTACTTACAGTTTCCTAGGTTGGATCTATTCTGTATTCTAGAAAATACATAGCTTACACTTCATTTTTACTCTAGAGTAACATTTTTTATAATTTTAATTTCACAGAATTTTTAAAAATTGCCTTCAAAAGGAAACCTTCATGTTTAACATCTTGTATATTCACAAAGGCCGGTGATTTATTGTCAGTAATTTATCCAACTTCTTTTCATTATTTTTTGATAGATACATCTGTGATTATCCAGAAAGGGAGGGATAGCATGCCGCCTGCCTCAAAAGTGCAAGGTCCCAAGTTTGATCCCCAGTACCAAAAAAAAAGAAAATTGGGGTAGCAAATAATTGCTATCTGGTAAATACTACTCTTAACTATGAGACACATTAGGTTTTTTTGTTTTGTTTTGTTGTTTCTTAGAGACAGTCTTACTGTACAGTTCAGGGTGGCCTTGAAATCACTATGTAGCTCAGGCTGGTCTCAAAATTGCACTGATCCTCCTGCCTCAGCCTCCTGAGTGCCGGGATCACAGGCATGCACCACCACCCTTGGCAAGACTTTAATTTTTACTTATGGGAAATTACATTTTAACTTCTTTGTCCTCTGTGACTGAGTTTCTTTTGCTTCTAATACATTTTTATGCTTTGTGGTATTTTTACTTGACATATAAGCTCCTAAGCTCTCGTATACATTGTTTTCTTTTGTTTTTTGCGGTACTGGGAATCAAACTCAGGACTGTGCACTTGTGAGGCAGGCGCAGTGTCACTGAGCTAAATCCCCGGCCCAGCTCTCATACACATTGACCTGAGACTGTGAAAGTTGAGTAATTTTTCAGTCTTTAGATAGTTTACATTTCATCATTTCTCAGCCTTTTGGCTAAGTTCAAGTACAGAAATTTTACATTTCAATGTAATTGAAAATTACCTATAACAAGTTGAACTTTTGGTGGAAATTGAAGACAGATGCTTGGAGTAAATCAGAACTGAGTACTTCATATTCCCAGTGTAGCAGCTCCTTTACTACTGTCTTACAGAGACCAATATTCCTTTTGTGGATTAGTACCATCACGTATTTAGCAAATTATCATTTGATGACAGCTCCACATAGACTTGTGTTAGAGGGAGTGAAAACTACAAAATCCTAAAATCCTTTTCTGGGAGGAATTGAGACTCTCAGCATAGGGCTGTGGGCTGTAACTGGTTCAAGTGTAGCAGGAAGAGCTTCACCACACATTTGACAGCACTAACTTCACATCTCCATTGGATTTATTAGGTTTATGTCTTACTTGCCTGCTAAATATTTGGGTCCTACATCTGCCATTTTAGATTATGAAATAATGATCATTAGGTCTGGCATACTGGCCAGAAATTATTAAATTTGCATTCACTTGGAGAACATTTTAATTGGTGGGTTCTTTGTTTCAGAAAAAGCTATTCATTTGCAAGAGGAGCTCACAGCTGTTAATTCAAAGAAGGAAGAACTCAATCAGTCTGCAAATCGTATGAAAGAACTTGAGGTAATTGTTAAACCTGTTTTTTTTAAATAGAGTTTAAGCAATGCATAAAACTGTAGTTTTATTTAGTTAAGCACAGTTTATCTGAAGTCATCCTTTTGATATGTTTGAACTGACTATTCTATGACTAAGAAGTTGATGGTCGAAGTTAATTTAGTAGTTCTTAACTTTGGTGGAGGAAGAGCTTTGGGCCCTAGAGTCCTGTCTCTCCCTTACTGCTTGTGTGCTTCTAGGTGAGTTCTGTGAGCTCAGATTTCTGATCTGTAGGCTTGGGATATTTCCAGCTGCCATACAGTTGTTAAGAGAAGTGAGCAAGCAGATGGGCAGTGAATCCAAGCTTCTGCCTCAGCCTGTTCTGTACCCTAAACAGCAGGGAAAACCTGGTATTGTCACATTGCTATCTTACAAATTAAAACAAAATGAGACACACTGTTACTAGTTCTGTTCCTAAGTGTGCTTGCTTTCTGAAGAATAAGTACTGAAGATATGTATCTGTAAGTAAAATTTACATTTTCCAATTTTAGTATATGTGCTGCCAAAGCGAGCACGAAAATTTACATTTTCAATCATGATGACTTATTTGAGAACTTTGTAGGCTTCTGTATCCAAATATGAGATATATTATACTAAGAAAAAGAAAGCACTTCACAGCAGGCTAGGGATTATGTCTATCTCACCTTCTGCTGTTTTAAAAAATGTATTGCTACAATGTGTGATTGTTACGGGGGTTGTGCTTGCGTTTGGAAAACGGAGAGATTACTTTCATCAGAAGTACTCACTGCATAGGACAGGAGTCCACAGATGCAGGTTATGAGCATCCCCTGCCACTTCCAGCACAGATGACTTGCTTACTGTACGGCAGTTAGGGCCTGTGGTTGCAAAGAACCCGACCTCTGTCCAGTGACCGTCAGGAAGTTCCTGTTCAACTTAAAGCAGCCGCCCAGCTTTTATGTCTGCAGTACTGTCATGTCGTGATTCACATGGAAGTTTTCCTCTCACTTTCAGCTCAAGTTAGAGTCCATCAAAGCACAGCTTGTGACAACAACGAAACAGAACCACTTGCTGAATGAAAGGGTTAAAGAGATGAGTGATTATTCACAACTGAAGAAAGAGAAACTGGAGCTTCAGACACAAAATAAATTACTTAAACAACAACTGGAAAACAGTAGAAGTGAAAACTTGCATCTCCTAAACCGTATGTCTTCTTTTCTTCTAATGTGAATGTTTCCTTAACTCATGTTAAGCTACTTGTGATTGAGGCTTAAGATTCTTTCACTGGAATTGTTTGTTTTGCGTAATTAACAGTATCACCAGAAGAAGAAGGCCCACTTTCAAGCTGTGGGGCTCTGTGGGAAGTATCAGGGCTCACCTCGCCCTTAGACCCCTGCTGGGGTTTGGCTAGTAAGAACTCCAGCAAGCACTTGGAGGGAGGCAGGGAGAGGAGGTTGAGATGGCTATTATCTCATTGTCACCCCACCTCCATGTCCAGCAGCCCTGGACCACTGTACCTCTCAGGCAGCTGACGCCACAGAACCTGCTAGTGGCCCGTCACCAGCGCTCTACACCATGCCCAATCAGTCTCCCCACTTCTGCGAATGTCTCCCCCCCTTCACCTGCCAAGCCCAAGGGGTGCTAACAGCCTGGCTTCATTTCTTGTCCGGGAAACTATATGATCCTTTGTAGTTAGCCTGCATATGGTACCCTTTATTAAAGGGTCTCAAGTGACCCGAACTGAGCGCACCACCCACTTTCTCTCTGCCTGTCACCGTCACTGCTCAGATCGGATGAGACCTCAGGGAAGTCATCCACAGGTAGATGACAAGAGAGCTTCTTCTAGGCCTTCTGTGTGTGGGAGAGGAAAGAGGCAGGCTTTGAGGTAATTTGAGGATTTGAAAGAGTTCTTTTACTTGGAGTAGGACTCCAAGAGTAGCAAGGAGTGCATTAATATGCATTAAATTCTTCTGAAACTTGTGAATCAGGATTGCTTTTAATCTAATTAGTAGAATTGATAGAATATTAATTCCAGGAGTACAAAGAAAGGAAACTGTTAAACTCTCTTTAGCTGCTTTCGTTAAATAATATAACCAAACTTACCTAAGGTTGCTAATAACCAGTATTTTTCTTATGCCTTCTTAGGCATGGCCCAGCCAGCTCCTGAACTTCTAGTTTTTCAGAAAGCATTAAAGAAAGCAGAAGATACTATCGCATTTGAGCATAGGGAGTTTGAAACTCAAAGGCAAGTTCTGCAAAAACAACTCCAAAGTGAAGTGAGTATTGCTCTGTACTCACACTTGTATTATGCCAGGTCACCTGCAGCTGTGTAAACTTGGCGCAAGTCACACCAGCACAAATCATGTCTATTTTAACATCAAAAATGACTCCCCTAAATATGCTAAAAGTTCCTTGCTCATCTGAGAAAATTCTCTAGTGATTATTTTACTTTATATTCATGATAGTATTCAAATTGAAAGAAAAGCAAACTCATCTAAACATACAATTTTGTGAGTGCCTGATAGTACCCATGTTAGTCTCTGTTTCTCCTTCTGAGACCTACAAATATTCACTGTCTCTTTCTGATTTCTGCCTGCATGCCCCAAAGTAGCTGTATGATATGAATGAAAAAGGTAGTGAAAAATTTGTCTGTGTGTTCTGTTTGTATTTTTTAAATAGAGATCCATTGATCACTGGTGTAAATCTTCTCAGAATTGGCAAGACAGA